ATTTCACTTCTGCAAGAAGTTACAAGAGGATTATTCAGTATTCTTGGGCTTTCTAATGAGAATGCCCATTGAGGGCTAGAAATCCATTTCCAACATGTGCTGCTTTCTACTCATCACAAAAGTTTCTGAAACAGAGATTCTAGAAGTGTGTTGCTGTCCTCTTAAATATTTCAGTGCCCTTGGCAATAACAGGACACTGTATTACAAGACCGGCTACATGGGTGTGAGGGCTTCTTTGGAAAAATAGAAATAAGTAAAACTTTCCATACACATAAAAGGCAATGTTCTTTGCTTGATCTTTATACTGGATACTTTCCCATTCTCTGCAAGTTCTGCACAAGGACTGAGCAGCAGAATACATACTACTGGAATTAATCTGTGCTGGTTCCAAAAGGAGTTCAAGCGAGATTACTGCCAGAAATCAGTTTCCCCCCCACACTCTTAAATCAGAAGTAGGGAGGGGGGGAAATAAAGGCTTTAAAAATTCTACCCTGGCTTTAAATCTTTTTGAGAAAGAAATGCCTTAACTTTGTTTGTGCGCTTGGTTCTTGTGTTTATGAGCAAAGAAGAAAATCTTTAGAAAAACATATTTTCCTTGACTTTTTATGATATAATGGGTATCTAGAGGGGCAAGAAAAATCAATACTGAACACTAAAAGAAATGTATAATAAATGCTCTTCCCCTGCAAAATAGGAGGTAGCCCTTCATAAAGGAACTAGAAAGTAAACTGCTCCATAAGGAGCAGTGTGTTAAATTCTGGAAACATATGCAAATAGGCCACTTTTGTCTATAAACAAGTTTTTTCAACAAAATTAGTACAACCACAGAGTCAAAAAACCCCACAAACACAACTTTGCTAGTATGACCACTTCATGTAAAAGCAAGACTATGGCCAGGATCCATTAAACCTAACCACCATTCATGTTCTTAATTCCTGTAATAAAGTAAAATCTTAGGCAGTTATTAAATATGCCACAGGCTCAGTAGGAGCAGATCAAATAGTCAGCCAAACACTATCATTGGAAAATGCACACCAGAGGCAAGGTAAAGAGCAAAACTATATTAAGCTCATTTATTAAGCAAATGGCCCAACTAGAATAATCTAAGCATCATGACCAGATTCTTATAACTATACAACAGTGCTGTTTTTTTAAAAAAAGTTCATATGAGACATCTATGCAAAATATTAGCTTTCAATCAGTTTGGCAAGAAGCAGTTGTCAAAAAGAACATCCAATTTTAATCTGCAAAGTACAGTTTTGATTCTCTGCTACATGCCACCTACAGAAAGGCAACCATGAACTCCAAATATCATCTGAGTTCTTTTAACTTGCCAGAAACAAAGTGTGTGAAAGATAAAAAGAAATGGGAATCAATAGGATTAAGGAATGGAAATTATTTTGCCTCGCTACGGGGCACTAGTCCATATTTACTTAACACATTGTTAATGTGAAGAGAATCTCTCTACAGATAGAAAGTGTTTTCTCCGAATATGCCTAGTTCAAAGTTCAAAAGTTACGTTCCAGCGCACTCATCTCTTTTTGCCAAAGGCCAACTGATCCAAGTGAAAAGGGCACTGACCGGGGGGAAAGAGACAAATCTATTTATTTTTTTTGAGAAAACCATTTATCCCTCTCCAGTACAAACAGGAAGTTCCCACAACCTGAAAAGTATAATCAACCACAGGACTCTCTTCAGTTTCAGCAATATCCATGTAATGTACAGTAATCACCCAGTCCTACTGGCCTAACAAATGTTTAATTAGCTGAAGTGCTCCCCCCCCCTTTTTTATAGCTGTACTTCTACATTGCAATAAAAGTCTCTGATGCTGCTTTTTCTCATTATCTTTCCCCCCATTTTGATAACTTCTATTTATTCTGTCTATTTAGAATTGTGAAATTCATTTCTGGGCACTTAAATTTCTCATTGTGAACCACTTCTTACTCATTTCTGCTAACCCCTTCAAGCTTTTGTACATTTCGTCTTCAGCATCATGGATTCGAGTGTGGAAGGAGAACAGTTACTAAGTTTCACAATTTATGCCCACACAATCTCAAAAAGCTCTTTAAAAGCGAACATCCTGACTAGCACTGTTGTCATTGCCCAAAGCCATCACGAAACGGTGGCTGATAAAGTCATAAAAAGGACAAAGAAGCAATCACCTGCAACAGTCATCAATTCCCTCTGATAGCACAGGAGGAAGAGAGGAAGTCTGCAGGAAACGTGCCAATTCAGAGGTCATTCCAGAAAGTGCGAGCAATATTTAAAGCATTTTTCAAAGCCACAGCATTCTATGTATATCCTGGCTACCTTATGATAACCATTTCGACGTAGTCCAATTCTCTCTGTTAACTACTTTCACCATAGCATTCTTGATGATGGGACTTGCTTCCCTAAGGAATCGTCTTTATTTACTTCATATCATAGCCTTCCTTCCTCACTGAGTCTTGAGGCAGATTACAAAGTATTAAAAACCACACAGTCAGACACCAAAAGACACCCAATAAACAGTGCAACAGAACTAGGATTACAGGATTAGAAAACAGTGCAAAGAGAAAACTGCCTAAGGCACAACCTAAAATAAACAATGCAAGTGGATTATAAAGGTAGATGGTACAGTGAAAGCAGAACGATACATACACTAAATGTTGCAATAAACTACAATCCCATTTATTTAAGAAAATGTCCTCCTGAACATTTCTGCAGAATGTTAGAAGTGAGGGAGCCTCTATGACCTCCTCGGGGAGGCTGTTGCACAAGGCAGAAGCCACAACAGAGAATTCACATGTACAGGCAGTTGCCAATCTTACCTACTTGCAAATTTGTACTCTAAGACGACTTTGCTTGAATGAGTGAAGCTTTTGTGGAGTAGTATAGTGGAAGAGACAGAACTGCTGATACGCAGGTCCAAGGCCATTAATGGCTTTGAACGTGATAACCAATACTCTGAACTGAACCCAGTTAGTGACTGGTAACCAAATGAATGACTATAGAATAGGTGTGCTATATGCTTGCTCTACCTAACTCTGGATAGTTACCAAGCAGCAGTGTTCTGCACCAGCTGGAGTTTCTGAGTTGATTTTAAGGGCAGATCCATGAACTGCAGTGCATTACAATAGTCCAGACTTGCAGTTACCATGAGCTATCTTCCAGGCTAAATGACGATGGAAAGCATTGTTTGCAGCTACATTAACATGCATTTCCAGTAGTGATGCTGGGTCTAGTATAACCCCTAGGTTTTATACTGAGTTCATTGAGGGTCAGCTGGATGCCATCAAATGAGGAAAACATGATGTCCTTCAAGACGTCAGCCTTCTCAACTAGTTTCAACTTCACCTTATCAATGAGGGAGATCTATAAGCTCTTCCATGATCCTGTTCATAAGAATGTAAGAAGAGTCATGCTGGATGAGACCAGTGGCCCATCTAATCAAACACACTTTTTCACATAGCAGCAAACCAGTTCCCACAGCGAGACATATGCCTGGCTTCAGTGGACAAGGAGGTGAACTGACACGCTTCCTTGCAATCAATATAGTATTTCTTTATACAAGGTACTTTTATACCATCCTCTCAAAAGAGAAGGAGGCTTGAACTTTCTGGGCTCACACTGAGGTTTAGCTGATTACATTTATTTATTTTATTAAAGATTTATATCCTGACTTTCGTTGTAGCTCAAGGCAGCTTCCAAGTCACAGCTGGAACATTACTATTTAAAACTAATAGGATACAATCCCAGATACCCCTCCCCCCAATGATGCCTACAGTTTATATCCCCTTTAAAGCCCTGGCAACTGAAGCACATCCTCAGGGAGCCCATTCCACACACTAGGAATTAGAACAGAAAAGGAACATGCTACAGTTGATGCCAGGCAGACCACCTTAAGTGAGGGAACACCCAGCAGGTGGCAAGCCTGAAGACTGTGAAGCCTTCTGCTCTTCATCCTGCAATGGAATGAATCATTATTTACGTTGGGCTCCCAGATAAGCTTGTTGCATGCATGTGAACATTTGGTAACTACACGGCAATGTTTTGAACTAAAAGCGAAAGGAGAAGAGCAACCTAGGATTTGCATCATAATATACATGTGTTCTTCAGTTCAACACGCAAGCAATTGACTTCAAGGATTATTTCAGTTCAGTTGAGGACAATAAGATTGTTGGCATTCCAGGGATATTCCCGCTATTATGCTGTATCTTACTTTACTGGTGGAACTACATTACATGTAACAAATTCAATATACTGTCTCCACATAGTGTTTGGTATAAATGATGTTATAAGTTATGTACATTGTGCAGAGTAAATTGTTCTTAAGCACTGTATAGTCGTTAAGATTGTTTAAATATCATATAAAAAGCACTATATACAATTTATTAATATCATTTTGTTGGGTCGGTGTGTTGCATGAATATCACACAGTAACTTGTTTCCAATTATAACTTTCAGCATGAAAATGCAACCCACCCAGTCCCTAAATGGTGACAAACTTTGGGGTTTTCACGTAACAAGTAGCCGGACACGGAGCTCTTAACACCTGTAATTAAATTTTATTATTCAAATAAGTTAATACACCAGCCAGCGTTACTATACACACACTGAGATGCCTCAAAACCTTTTAAAAAATATTTCAGTAGAAGAAGAAGAGGAGGAAGAGGAGGAGATTGGATTTATACCCCGCCCTTCACTACCCAAAGGTGTCTCAGAGCGGCTTACAAACTCCTTTCCCTTCCCCTCCCCACAACAGACATCCTGTGAGGTAGGTGGGGCTGAGAGAGCTCTTGACAGAAACTGCTCTTTTTCAAGAACAGCTCTTATCAGAACTATGGCTTGCCCAAGGTCATCCAGCCAGGTGGAAGTGGAGGAGTGGGGAATCAAACTCGGTTCTCCCAGATTAGAGTCCGCACACTTAACCACTACACCAAAATGGCTCTCAGTAATATCATGCTACTGTTATTCAAATTTCTTAATTTAAAGAACACAACACTTTTGTTAATCCTCACCTTGTTTTGGGTCCAAACCCTCCAATTTGCTGTCTTCCTTCAGAGAAGAAGTAGAATCTATGCTGTTGTCTTGCCTGTGAACAATGAAGAACCAATCTAGGTTAGCATACCGTATAAAAACTGTTTCTGAGAAGTGATTTGCCATGTGGCACGTAAAGAGAAACAGCCATTTGAGAAATACAAGCCCAGGCTATTCAGCAGAGCTAGATTTATGCACAAGTTAAGTAAACTACAATTTAAGGTCTCAGATTATTAAGGGCCTCTGAATTTAAAAAATATATTAATTTTTACTAATATGGTTGTTGGGGTTTTTGGTAATGCCATGGGTCCTCTTAAACTTGACATAGCTCAGGGTCTCAGCATGTCTTAACCAATGTTCCCTCTAAGCTGTGGAGTCTTGTGAACCAAAATTCTACTTTGTGAGCTACTGGCATTAGAGTTGTGAGCAAGCAATTTGGCTACTGCATAAATTAGTTTGCTCTGGAGCCATCTTTCTTGAGCTGGGACAAAAATCTGTGAGCTGAAGGCTAAAAAACCGTGAGCTAGCTCACACTAACACAGCTTAGAGGGAACATTGGTCTTAACCCAGCCCTACTTCTTGGGGCACGGAATAAGCTGCTCGGTTCTTTACTGAACACTGAAGGTTGTATTAAATCAAAAGCCAGTGGAAGACCCTAGCAGATACAGGTTTTCCTTATACTCTCCTTCCCCCATAGCCTCTTTTGATCCCTGGAAAGATGACAGTGCCTAATATTTGCAGGACCCTCCTGGACAGAAAGCCACATGGACTGACCTCTTCCACAAGCAGAGCATTGTAAGCCCCCAACCCATATTGCTTTCTGTTCCCGTGGGACTTGCAACACCAAACATCATTTGGGGGGCCAGTAAGGACTGCTGGAGGAAGGGCAGTGTGATGAAAATGTGTGCACATTGCATTGGTGGGTGGGTGGATAAAACCCTGTATTTTGCTTTACATAAAATAGGTCAAGAAATTAAAACTAGTTATTTTCATTGCTCTGCACCCTGCAATGAACTGTCACCATTAGCAACATCTTATGTCCAAGGCAAAATAAACAGCAATATAGTAAGGAACTATGATTCTGCAAGGACACCTCATGGATTCAGACAATAATACTCATACTTTTCATGAATTTTCATTCTCCTCAGGTTTAATAGGGCAGTCTGGCCCCAGGAGCCAAAGACAGTCAAATTAACATGATTATATCTCTGACTGGGGGAAATGCTCCAGCCTAGTTTAAGGACAGTTACAGCAGATGCCATTTTTTTCTAAACCAGAAACAATCCACTTTAACTGCTATGAGAAAATTAACAGGAATAGAAGCACAGCATTACAAAAAAACTGAGAGCAAGAGACAAACAGCTCTGCAAGGCCAAAATACAGAACTTATCAGAGCACTGTGGCCACACCAGCAACACTAAAATTTCCTCTGCCACGTGGCAGGCTCTTGTTTTATGCCAGATGGAACCTTTACTACTGTCAAAAGACAGAAAATTTGCCAGTAATGGCCAATCCTAGTTTTTCCTTTAGGGTAGTTGTGTAGTCTGGATTACAACACTATAAGGTAGCAAAAATGTTCTCAGCTCAAAGCAATTCACAAAGCGGTTCTCCAATTTATCCTCAATTTCCCTGCTTCACTGTTACCCTGAGAGCTTCCCTGGAAGATCAGGGATTCAAACCTGGCTTGCCACGATCCTATCTGATACTCTCCCCACTAAACCACACTGGCTCTGAATGGCAGTTCATTTTCTTTAAGTCTCAGTGATGCAACTTGCACAATGAATGGCTCTGAAGACAACATTTGCAAAAGTTGTATAAAAATGTAAACACATTGAATTAAAGAATTTAAAAGTTGGAAAGTGCCTAAAAATGACCCAGTCCAACCCCCTGCACTATGCAGAATGACCTAAAGTACCCCTGATGAATAAGTGTCCAGTCTCAGTTTAAACACCTCCAAGGAAGGAGAAAATACAACACCCCTGGGCAACCAATTCCACCCCTGAACTGCCACTATTGTTAAAAAATTGTTCCTAATATCCTACTGATATCTCCCCACCCATAATTTAAACCAATTATTATGAGTCATATTCACCACTACCAATGACAGGCTTTCAAATACTTAAAACGAGCAATCATGTTCCCCCTCAACTTCCTCTTCTCCAAATTAAATATTCCCAACTCCCACAGTGTTTCTTCATAAGGCTTAGTTTCCATACCCCTTGTTGCTCTCCTCTGCACCCACTCTAAAGTTTGTGTCCTTCCTATAAAAAGGCCTCCAGAACTGGACACAATACTTCATATGAGGACTGACCAGTACAGCATACCCATCTAATGTCCTAAACACTAATATCTATATGAACTCAAGTTTGGGAGGGGGAAAGAGCTGCAGCTTTAAAAATTTCTGTGTGTTTGAATGCTGTTTTGGGGGAGGGGGCTTAAAAATTGCTGAAAAGGCTAAAATTTTATCTGCTATCGCACCATAGTTATCAAATGACTTTATACAAAGCAAGAATGCAAATGAAAGATTATATGATACACTTGAGAAGACAGGATACAGCTCTCCATAGGATCTTGAAATCATGAAAGGCGAGTCCAATTGTTGAGTTTAATGAGCATTTTGGCCATAAAATTATTTTATATTCATCTAACCAATTTCATACCTCAACTACTTTGTCTAAAATTTGTGAAGTACATATTATGTTAATATGCGTGCAAGCACCCAGCCTACAGACAGGAGTTAAAAGGTACCATTAAAAGGCTAGTGTCATCCCAATGTGTCACCCAGATTTTTTAATTTCACAGGTTCACTTCTAATTATTTATTCCCAGTTGTTTTAAGTATTGTTAACAAAGCTATGATTTAAGATCACTCTTCTTAATAAAGTTATCTATCGATAAAATTCATTTTTAGCTAGATCTTGTTAAAATCTCCATGAAGCCTTTTCTCCTTTGACCAAAAGTGTGCTTCCTTGGCTAAACAGGAGGAGGAGGAAGAGGAGACAGGATTTATACCCCACCCTTCACTTGGAGTCTCAGAGCAGCTTACAATCTCCTTTCCTTCCTCTCCCCACAACAGACACCCTGTGAGGTAGGTGGGGCTGAGAGAGTTCTTTGAGAACTGCTCTTGAGAGAACAGCTCTGAGAGAACTGTAGCCTGCCCAGTGTCACCCAGCATCTGCATGTGGAGGAGTGGGGAATCAAGCCTGGATCTCCCAGATTAGAGTTTGCACTCCTAACCACTACACCAAACTGGCTCCCCAAAACTGCCAAATATTCATTGGGGGGGGGGGGCCTTCTCTCAGACTGCTTCCATCCAGTATAAGAGACAGCTATGGATTTGACATTCTGAGCCAACCTTTTATGTTGGAGCACAAATGCATCACCATTTATTTATCTGTAAAGTCTAATTGTAAAGTGGGTGGCTTATGTCAGTCAGCAAATCTAGACCACCCATAGACAAGGTAAGGATTTCTATACTCAGGTGACTCTCGAGGTATGGAGGGAAAGTGCACATGCATCAAACAAAGGTTTTGTACAGTCAGGTGATCCCCCAGGCATGAAGAAAGATATTAGTTCGTAAAAATTTTCTGAAAGGCTCCTAAAATTGCCCAATGAAGAGTGAGCATGCTCATTTCACTAAATCAGAATTATTTCTAAAAAGAAAGAATATATAGGCAGATGAAGAAACTGGCTGGAGACTGGATTTCTCAGAACCCAAAGAGGTTACAGTATTTTACATCAGGAGATTTGGGTGGGGATTTTTGTAGGTTCCCAACTTGTATATAATTATCACTGATGTAAAAATGTTTATGCATTCCATCTGTGGTACAAGCAACATTGTGAGTATTCTTTGATCATCACCATGAAGCAGAAACTGGTATTGAATGCAACAGCCTGAAAATCTTAGCATTTAAATACACACACACACACACGCTATTGCATCTTTTCAATCTCAGCTGTTTTAAGCTGAGTAAAAGTATACTGAAAATATAACCCGGCATTTATATTCCTCATCCCTGCCCCAGCACAGGATGAAAATATTAACTTCTGAATTAGTTGATAATGTTAATATCAAACATGCCATTTGGGCAAACAATCAGGGGGATGATCTGGCACAATTAATAAGTCTGCAAAAGGATAAGATGCCAAAATATGTCAAGTACCAGGATAATAAAGCTCCCGCTGTCCTGAGTCTTCCTGCCAGCTTCATTCAGCAATCAGAATTACTCATTTGGCACCATTCTCACAGCAACCTTTTTATTTCTAATGATGCACTTGGTTTTAAATGCAGGTCATAAGAAATATTTATATTCAATTTAGTTAGTTAGGTATGTTTATTTTTGGACAATTGAACAGCCTGGTACAAAACCAGCTGCAGAACTTCTATGGTATTTGTTTTACAACAGCCAGTTCAGTAGAAAGGTATGCAGACTAATATAGACAATCTTCTGTCCAAAACACTTTGCCACTGAGCAGATCTTGGGCTGTCATACAGAGAGTATGGAACCTGGTATTAGGAATTTAATATATATGCATTTTCTGCCATCTTGTGGTCAAACAGTGACAACATTAACTCTTGCCTTTTCTGGTTTTAAAATTTAACCCAAATAACTAGATATCTATTATCTAATAGCTAGTGTGTGGAATTCTCTGCAATGTCTCTCTTTTCTCATAAATCACATGTGAATTCATATTAAGAAAATACTGAAGGATTATACCATACTTTGTTATGTTAATTGCCAGCAGAGGTGCTAATCCAAAAATGCTGGATCTCTTTGTATACCAAAATGAATTAACATTATAACATTTTTGCCTGTTTTTGCGACATATATATATATATATATAATACCTGTAAAAGCACCTCTCTGTAGTGTACTGAGGTGACGTATGTTATGCTACTTCCTTGCCTTCCTTAGTGTTTCCTGTTTATTTTTCCTGCCACCAAAGGCTCTCGCCTTGAAATTCTTAGCTGGCTCAGTTATTTGGTAGAATGACAGAAGAGCAAGGGGGAGGGGGAGGCTCTGAGGTAAAAGGGGAATACTTTATTCTAAATTATACAATTGTTTTATCTTAAACAGAAACAGAGTTTATTTAGAAGTGTAACAGTGTAATGGTTTCAACAGAGGTGATAAGCCTAATGTTTTTAGATAGGTACAGTTCTTCTTTCTGTACAGTTCCTTAAATAGACCTAACTACAAAGGCTTATTTTCTCATTTGCCACTTAGGCTAATAATGTCCACGAAGCTTAATTTCCTAACTTGCCACTTAGGCTAATAACCTCCACAAAGAACACAGATTTCTCTCACACTCTACAGCACCTCAGTCAGTCTCTCTTCCCAACACACTCTGAACAAGCCCCTCTCTCCAAGCAAGTCAACTCCACCCCCCTACGGTTCAGCTACCACCTAATCATAACACACTTCAGTCACCTATCATTCTTACTCTAGAGGCCTGCCTTTTTAAACCTCATATAAAACCTCACATTAAAACACAGAAATAAAACCCATACACAATCAAAGGGCCACATTTCTCCATGTATATTTAACCTTGTGGCCATTAACAGCAAACCTAAATAAAATGATCATACAACACTTCATTTTCCTATCAGGCCCAATCCCACCCCTCTCCAGACTGTTTCAGGCTGAGAAAATGCCATGGGCCATTTCTCCATGTGCTCTGTGGTCCTGATCCCAACTGGGCAAACATACATGCAAAAACTGAGCAGAGCTTACAACTGACATTGGGTAGGAACACCAGATGCTACCTGTGTGTACTCCATAATGTGTAAAAAGGTCTCCAAGATAGCTAATTACTAAGTAACAGAATAGAGTTGGAGACTTTCTCAATTTCTCCAGGTGGATTAGAGCTTTGCCTTCCCATGGCTGAACAACCATGAATGCAATCAAGTCACATCCACAGACCATAGTGGATCACATACTTTAAGCACCATTGTGCCAGCATAACTAATAAGACAGGTAAGGAAATAATATGTGAATCTCTGGGGAAATCAGCCAATTTGTTTGCTCTCTCTGGCTAATAAAAGAAGCATGCTTATTGTTGACTTTTTAATCAAAATGCAAAGCTCAAAGGAAACTGTAAAAAAGGTATCCTCATGTTTCTCGACCACAGGACCACTTCTTTGATAAGCCAAGAAGGAAATAACAAGATTAAAGTTTGCACTGTAGGCCATCCACAAAGGAGATGCACTCCACTAAATCTTATCCACAAACAGACTTTACATATTTAAATTTTATTTATTTTAAATATTTGTATCCTGCATTTGCCCCAAATTGCTCAAGACTGGAATATGCACAGCGGGGGAGTAAGGCACATTAAACACAACCAACTAACTCTGATGTTTGTAAATGAGAAAACAGAAATCTGTAATTCTGATACACAGTAATGCACAGGCAATGTACAAAAATAACATTAAAATCTAATAGAGATCTTTATCATAGGTCCCTTATAGCTGTGGTGCAAATTCTTCACTAAGCTTTCATCATGTTTTGCAAAGGTTTCACCAAAGTTTCACTGGGTCAACCCAAGTTTTGTCAGTTAAGCTTACCAATGTTCACAGTAGGTTCACAAAGTTACAGCAGAGATTTAGCTAACGATTTTATCGCACATTTAATTGGGGGTTTCTTGGAATTTATGGACAGGGGCCCTTTCACCAGCAATTTGACCATTTCCAGTGCAAAAACAAAATCTTCTGATGGTTAACGTTAAGCTCTTTATTACAAATACTTACTGACTAATTGATTCAATAGCAGTCTTCTCTTCACTAGCATTGGCTTCTTCATCACTGTCAGAATCAGCCCCATGCTCACCTTGAAATAAAATATTACTGTGAGTTGCAACATCTTGGGAGCATTTCCTCTGTCTTGTTACTGCTGTGTCTAAGTAAAAGATTGTTATGGATGACAAGTGAAAGCATACAGTGTGACTGCTTGAGTGAAGCCTGGAGAGGAGAAGACTTTTGGAACTGGAATGCCATCAGTGAAGGAGACATCAGTCTGAGTTTGCAGTTCGCTGACAAGAAGAAGCTTCAGCAAGTTCCAAGGGTATGCGATTTCTTTGTAGAGAGTATAGGCTACTTTAAAGACTACTGCATGCTTGCTGTCCCATGCTCAACTAGTACTTTTATAAGTAAGCAGACATTACACACCTCCAGTAAACTCTCTTTACAAAACAGCTATTCTTGTAAAAGGCTGTCCTTGGAAGTTTTTATTACCTGGAGCAGTGAGGAGAGAGAAATAATACCACATAGCCAAATAGGCTTTGCCAAATTTCTCCTGTAAAATTAAACCTAGCATTTTTAGAGTATCTACATGTTATACTGGTACTGTATAGAAATCCTAAGCAGGTCTGTGCAAAGTCCTATTTTATGTAACTGGGCTTACTCCCAGGAAAGTGATCTTCAAGTTGATTGCAAAATTTCCCACTTTCTTTAACCACTTTGGCCATTCCCTCTTATTGTGTTCTATGCCTGAAATTCCCTCCCAGAACGCTTACATTGTGTGTTCTCTCTAATCTCTCCTTCTTCACAACCTTCCTCAAAACCCAACCTTTCCAATAAGTTTTGAGCCCTTGATTCTCATCTCCAACTGAATGAAGCCAATTAAAAGCCTGGGCTCTCTTTGTGGGAGCTGATCTTCCCAAACTTCCTGTTATCCCAGCAGCTGCCTGCATCCCACCTAAATCAGCTACTTGAGGTGGAAACCTTTAAGAACAATATGCTGTGCAGATATGAGGGGCTAAAGCAAGGACAGGTATTGGGCAAAATGGACCCTCTCACACCAACAGAGGAAGCTCTACCCCAGTCATGCAAGAGTTAGAGGAAAGTGATTTAATCTTTCTTTGCTATTCTTAGACCAGTATCACTTCATAGTTTCAGAGTAATATAATACCAATTTAAATGTATCATTGTATTCTATAATAGTGGTTACCTTCAAGAATTTTCAATAATTTCTTCTCAGACATGAGTTCCAACTGTTCAAGACAAAGCCTTTTGATTTCTTCTACGGAACAGTTCTAGGCAAAGTGAAGTTTTAAAAAAAAGATTTTTACAACAATAATATTTTAGAAAAGAGTTTGGACAAGTCAAGCAATGTAAGCGCTCACAATCTGAAGTACTAATCCCTGCAATAACAAATAAATTCAGGTAGGTAGCCATGTTGGTGTGAAGCAGCAGAACAAAGTCTGAGTCCAGCGGCACCTTTAAGACCAACAAATTTTTATTCAAGGTATAAGCTTTTGAAGAAGTGTGCTTGCACACAAAAGCTTATACCTTGAATAAAACTTTGTTGGTCTTAAAGGTGCTGCTGGACTCAGACTTTGTTCTACAATAAAGAATGTTAAGACAATAGTTAGGTAAGCGAAAGATATGCAAAATCTTCTTACACAGGAGTCTCCAACCTTCTAAAACATGTGGACACCTTTGAAATTTTGACACAGGGTGGTGCGTGCAACCACAAAACGGCTGCCACAGGATGCGGAGCCTGCCACAAAATGTCAGTGAACGAAGTGAAGATATGCATAACTTTAACAGGAACACCTCATCATAGCAGGAAGAAGCTCGGTTTTATGGGATGCTTTTCAAAATGAACATACTGTTTATGAGAAAACATCTTTATACATACAGCTTATCTTCAGTCACACAAGGGAAACCCTGGCGCTGTGGAAGCACCTGCTGCCACAGCAACATTTTTAAAAAGCTGCACGGCCAATCGTATCTCCAATAGCCAATCACAAATCCTGTCCACTTTCTAAAGCACTTGGCAGGCACCAGAAAAGGCACTGGGAGGCACAATGGCACCCCTGGGCACCACGCTGGGGATCCCTGTTCTAAGTGCCAACAACATTTCTATCTGAATCCTGACAGTCCAATAAAGACTATTCAAGCTTCTGTTTTTATTCATTATACTCAAGAAAACAGTCTACAACTTTATGGATAATATCAGTCCTGCTGCTATGGAACATCCAGCACCTAAAGTTTTAATATAATCTTCTCTACTCAGTGAAATGATTTTGAAGGCACTTTGATTATACAAAGAGTGCTAGTGAAACTTGACGCTAACTTATATGAATTATGTAATTGTCCATTTCTTTAAACATCAGACAATATGGGTACGGATGTAATACTGCCGTCAAATGCCCAATTAAGCGATGTTTAAATAAAAACGTACTAATTGTAGCCAGTGTTCCCTCTAAGCTGAGTTAGTGTGAGCTAGCTCACAGTTTTTTAACCTCCAGCTCACAGATTTTTGTCTTCGCTCAGGAAGGATGGCTCCAGAGCAAACTAATTCATGCAATAGCCAAATCGCTCGCTCACAACTTTAATGCCAATAGCTCACAAAGTAGATTTTTTGCTCACAAGACTCCACAGCTTAGAGGGAACACTGTAGCTTCCCTCTCCTTTCCCTTGTGAGGTCCATTGAAAGCATGGTGGTTAACCAGAAATTTGCTGTCCCCCACTGACTGGGATCCTTAAACCAGGCAGGTGAGGATCCCATTTAGCAGAAGTAGTGAGGAGAGGAGAATAGGGAGGAAGGAGGCATGCATGCACACACAAGCTGGGTCCGTGAACAGTTTTATTTAACTGCAGTCAATCAGATGTCTGAATGCAAGCACTAATTCCCTGCAGACTGCTATCCACAGAAATCCTTCCCTCTTCTTGAATAAAATCCACCCTTCACAACAATCGACTCAAATGACAATAACTGTGATTACACCTAGTCGGGATTTACCTTACCCAGAGATCTGTAACGGGATGAAAATTGCGATTTCAGACCCTAGTTTATTTAACCACTATTGTCAGAAAAGCAACAAGAAACTCTACAAGGGTTCCAGTATTTTCAGTTACTCCAAGCCATTCCAGCCATACACACACCCTTCCTCAGTCCACTTCAAATTCTGTATATCCCTGTCTCTGTGGCAGGCTTGCAAATTGCCACTAGCCTGGAGGGTACCAGGCAACCTTAGGGCTGCCAAGTGGGGGCGGGTGGCGGGTAAACCCCCGCTTTGGAGGCCCAATTTCTGCCGCCACGGAATCGGGCCCCGGGGGGAACTCCGCCCCCCCCGAAGCGCAGCATGGCTGCGTCACCATAGGTGACGCAACCACGTCGATCACGTTGGGGGCGTGGTCCCGATCGTCGGAGGGAAAACTCTATGGTTCCCTCTGACTCTATGGTTTTCTCTCCGACGATCGGGGCCATGCCCTCAACGTGATCGAAGTCACGCGTCACTTCTGGCTAGAAGATCAATCTGCAAAGTTACTTTGTGGCATCTACAGTGGAGGTGGACCTCAGTGTAGGTGGCTGGATGACTCTGCGGAGACTCTTAACACTAAGCCTCCTCTGTAGCCTTGGGGAAGAAATGCAACAAAGACAGAGCAGTTAAGGGAGAAAGGCTCTCTCCGCTCACTCCAGGTTAAAAAATGTATTAACTCCCGGCTGGTATATGATATTATAATCTGAATACCTGTGCCTTTCCTTGACCAACTGAAACACTGCAATACTCTGACAGAGTACAAAATGTGTACTATGTTGTTAGTTTATTCTTAAATCCTGCTAGTCTCCGCTGTCTAGAGTTGCTATATTTCCTAGCAAGTAGATCAGAAGTCTCTTGGGAGTATTGCTCTTTTTTAATTATAAATGACTTATTTATAAACTGCCAGGTTGCCACACTCATCTCTGATGGCGTTGGCGTTACGTCCAATTAAAGAAAAATTTCAACATCCCCGTGGAAATGCTATAATTATATGCTACATTATTCCATATGCCACCGTAATTAATGTTATTTACATTTCCAGCCCGTGCAGTGCCAAGGACTGTGCAATAGTATTTCTTTTAAAAACATACACAGATAAAGAGTGTCTTTGTAGCCGTCTGATCTTGCTGAACTACTGCTGAGCCAGATAATAAATGCATAGGATGGCACACATTATATAGGGCTCCCAAGCGTTAATTGGTAGGTTAATCAGTGAAAACCTTAGTTGATTAATCAGCATGAAAACATTTTAACTGTTGGGGTTTGGCAAACCTGTAGGTCACAGTAATGAAAAATATGAAAGTTGTCTCTTCTTTTCTACATGGACTAACAGCTTTGCTCTAGTCTATCATTTCCCAAATTTCTGATAGCTGAGGCTCAGTTTTTGCGGAGTTAAACCTGAACCCATGCTTCATTTACATCCAGAAACATTGGCTTTTAGAATGTGGCACAGGAAAGTGTTTCTGCTTACACAGGAGCCCTTGCCTCCTCGCCCTGTTTATACCTCTGAGCCACTGTTCTGGTTGGAAGAAGGCAAGCCCAGAATAGCATTTCATGCAGATGGCAGCTTCCTCAGCAAGTTGGTTCTTAGACCCATAGGATCTTTTAATTATTGCTTGTGGCAGGCAGTTCTCTCACTCCATCTCTGGGAATTACTGGTTTATTCAATGGAAAGCTATTTTTTCCCCTCTCATGAATATCAGTATATGGCAACTTTGCTGATATGCAAATTTAGAACTGTTTAAGAGGAAGACTATTAACCAGCCAAAAATTCTCTAATCAGCTGACAGTCCTAATATTGAACATTGTGGCATCAGAAGTCATAAGATTATACTGAAAAGGGCAGATGCTGCAGCATGTGCAGGAAAAAAGCACAGAAATGGCAATGTAGTTTGACGGTTGGGTATGGCTGGAACAACCAAGATGCCTCATCACCTGAGGACACAGAAACGTGACACTGATGCTTATTTCAACTATCTAGTGAGGCCTGTGCATGGCTGGCTCTGAGAAAACTCATGCTGATATCTCACTACTTGATCCTTTTAACTGAATCTAGACATGCACTCATATGTATAACCATCACAGAAATAAAAAGAGAGCCATTAAGGCAATAAAGCAATCACAGGAATACTCCAATTAATGATTCTAGGGTTGCCAAAACCCTGGGCGGGGCAGGGGTTGTCCCAATTTCAGGGGCTCCAATCTGCTACCAGCCAGCTGGCTGACAAAGGAAGCCCCACCCCCAAACAGCCCCCTCCCATTTCAGCGTGATTACATCACACGGAAGTGATGTCATCACGCTGGGCACATCACACAGCCATGCTCTAGTATTTTGGCTCTATGAGTTTTCGGCTCTATGAGTTTTGCCCAAAAAGCTAGAGCATCACCACACAACGTGCCCAGTGTGATGATGTCACGTACAGTGACATTGCCTCACCCTCCCCACTCCCGGAAGGCTCCCCCCACACACACACACACTGGCTGGGTAAGTAGACCTGGCAACCCTAAATTATTCGAATATGTAACAAAAAGTTCCCAGTTTTCCATAGAGGATCAATACCTTTTGGAGTCTCCTTCACCTTCTCTAAACCTAATCAAATGAATAAGTTTGTTCATGAATAACATATCCCCAAACTACTGAACCAGCCTTCTGCCAAAGCAACAATTTCATTTTTCCCCCCATAAGTGTTTTTTTATTTTGAACAACATCTTCAACAGTACATTCATAACACATATTAACACCGAGTATTAACCAACATTTCAACCTTTAAGAGTCCTTATTAAAAATATAACAGATCTTTGTAATAAGAGTTATTTGGAATCACTCCTTCTTCTGCGAGATAAGTCACTGCTGGGAACCAAATTGCTTGAAAACTTTTTGGATAAGAGACAATTTTACCATAGATAAAGTGTTCCCAGACTTTGTTTTTGCCAACAATGGAGAGTAGGTTGATTTTTGTTTTTCCAGTACTGGGCTAATGTTATTCGTGCGATAATTTAGGCCAAAATATCTTATCATTTAACTTCTACTGCATGCTTTATGTAACCCAGAGAAAAGACAACAGTGGCACTCCATGCAGTTAGGCCATCTTAAATCCCTCTAACATCAATGAGATCGAAGCAACCTTACTTCATATAGGATTACTGCAACCAACAGGAATTGCATAGTACACCTTTAATATATGAAATACTTTTCCAGTTCCAGCTCAGATATCATAACTACAGGAAACATGAAAAGGGCTTTATGGCATGTTTCTGATTCTCCCCCTCCCCAAATAAACAAGCTGTAATGACAGATTTGGTTTATTAAATTTTTTGTCATGTTTCCCTTAACATTTGTTACAAAAACACTAATACAAGCTAAAAAGGCAAAAATGATTTGCCTGAAATTTGACAATGTAGGTATAATTTAACAAGTATACTGATTTGGAGAGCAGAGGTTCATTTCATGATGGTGATCGTAATTTAATTACATTATTAGCCAACATAGGGACTAATTTTTTTAAAAGCAAAATTGCAGGCTATAAGCATTCTCAGACTAATAAACAGTACCTTTAAAACATCAGGCAGCATTTTCTGCAATTTCTTCTCCCCTACGATACAAAAGCACTGTTGAAGCATTTCCTTCTTGTCTGTAATGTAGAAACTAACTGGCTTCAGCTGCACACTGAGGTCTAATCCACCTTCTTCTATGTCACTGGGTTCTTCTCCCACCTCCTCCTTTCCTGAAACTTGTACAGTACATTTTGTTTCCTAAAATATAAAGACAGAAAAATGTTTCAGTCATCAACGGGAAGAATACCTCTTTTACTGGATAATAATCTTAGCAACTAAGCTCTACCTAGAGAACTGAGGGAGCAGCCCTAAGCAGATCTACTTAGAAGTAAGTCTCACACTATTCAGTGGATCTTACTCACAGATGAAGTGTCCTTAGGACTGCAGCATGGGTCAATTAAACTGCTTGTGCACAGAAGGTAATAGCTTTCTGTGTGATTTTGTACAATCTAAAATCATAGAGCCTTATAAACTCGACAGAAGCAATTATGTATGTCGGCATTTTAACATGATTCATAAGCCTGAATTCCACATAGCTGATTTGAAAGATCAGAAGGTTAACAATGATATTTACAAAGAAAAAGTGCAGAGAGCATTGATAGAGAAATATAATTCTCTCAAACACTACAATTAAGGGTAGCTCAGTGAAAACTGATTGCTCAAGGTAATAACAAAAGCAGTAAAAACACATTGCATTTATACAGCACGTTAGAGTATCCCAGGCATTTCTCAGCTAACATATCAAGACACGCAGCAAAATAAATAATAGAATGGTAAGTTGGTAGAACCTGGGACCCTTATACTCACAGGACCACGTCCCCCCATATAGAAGGCAGTTAAGATCCTCACAGCAAGGTTTGGTATGTATTCCTTGTTGTGGCCGTCCACACCAGAGTCAGTGAGGAAGGCTTTGACTCTCTTGGGCTTTTGGAGGAGATTTAAAACAACTTTTTGTAAGGTTAGTCAAAGGGTTATAATTATATTTGTGGGCTATGCGTGAGTATTGTTGGTCTTTGTGCTGCGTTAACACTGTAGCTTTAATTGTTCATTCCTTGTATGTCTCACCCTGGGTCCCGAAAGGGTTTAGAAAGCTAGGTTAATTCAAGACAAATAAACAAAAATAGAGCCAAACACATCACTCATTTCTTTAAAAATGATGGCAAGTAAAATGTTAGCACATCAAGGGAAAACAGTTCTAGCTAGAGTTGCCAGCTCTGGGTTGGGAAAATACCTGGAGATTTTGGGGGCAGAGCCTGAGGAGGCCGGAGTTTGGGGAGGGACCTCAGCAGGGTACAAAGCCATAGAATCCACCCTCCAAAGCGGCTATTTTCTCCAAGGGGATCGATTTTGATCATCTGGAGATGCTATTCTACATCTATATGTGCCCCCTCACCCAGCTAATCCAGGGGGTTGAGCTGGGTTGTCACCAGTACGCTGATGACACCCAGCTGTATCTGTTAATGGATGGATGGCCGGACTCTGCCCTGGATATTTTGTCGACAGCTTTAGAGGCTGTGGCTGACTGGTTACAACAGAGTCAGTTGAAACTTAATTCAGTGAAGACAGAGGTCCTGTTCCTGAGCTTTGGGGGGATGGGTTCGGGAATCCGACTCCCAGCCCTTGGTGGGGTGCCACTGACACCGGCACCTCTGGATGCCTCCCTTTCTATGGAGGCCCAGGTCAATAATGTTTATTTTATTTAATTTTTCTGGATTTGTATCCCACCCTCCGCTTAACGGGCTTAATATTGCCAGATCAGCCTTCTACCATCTATGGCTGGTCAGGCAACTGGTTCCCTACCTTCCTCCCATGACTTGGTGACAGTGATCCATGCAATGGTCCCTTCCAGGCTTGATTACTGCAACTCGCTCTATGTGGGCCTACCCTTGAACCTGATTCGGAAATTTCAGCGGGTACGAAATGCAGCAGTGTGTCTGCTGACTGGGACATTTGTGTGGGCACACATTCAGCCGGTGTTGCGCCAACTGCAATGGTTGCCAGTTGATTACCAAGTTAGGTTCAAGGTTATGGTATTAACCTTTAAGGCCTTATGCAGCCAGGGACCAGCATACTTGCGGGACCGTCTCTCCCCATACCTTGCACTCTTCTGACCAGCACCATTTAGTAGTCCCTGGCCCGAAAGACATCCGTCTCACTTTGACCAGGGTCTGCCTTTTCAGCCCTGACCCAGCCTGGTGGAACATGCTCCCAACTGAGATCAGGGCCCTGAGGGATTTATTGCAAAATGGAGGTGCTCCACCAGGCCTTTGGTTGAGGCAGCAGACATCAAAGAACATCAGCCTCCCCTGCCTCAATTGCCTCAACTCCCTTAATTACTCCATGGTGCTATTCATATTTATTGGCACCAGGAGTGCTTGAGTTATTCCATCAGAATGATCCACCGCATTTCCCTGGCATGAACTCAGTGTACAATGAAATGAAACTAACCACTGAGCTGCTAGTTAGGTATTTTAAATTAGTCATTTAAATTTTAACTTTGTTGGAATTAATGTTTTGATTGATTCTATCTTTTATGGAATTGGCTGATTGTTTGACATGATGTAAGCTCCTCTGAGCCCATTCGCGGGGTAGGGCAGGACAGAAATCCCAAGAATAAATAAACAAGTAGTGGGAGCTCTCCAGGTACCACCTGAATGTTGGCAACCCTAGTTCTAGCACAACTTACTTCATTGCACACTCTGATTTTCTGTCACCAATAACTTTTTTAATGTGGGGATTACTACAAAAGTGATTCCTGCCTTTCCGATCTCAAATATTGCAGTCCTATCACAGACTGAGAACTGAATCATAAAATCATAAAGTTGGAAGGGACCTCCAGGGTCATCAATCCCCTGCACAATGCAGGAAATTAACAAATACCTCCCTCTCCACACCCACATTGACCACTGTTCCACGCCCAGAAGATGACAAAAAAACCTCCAGGATCCCTGGCCAAACCGGCCTGGGGGAAAATTGCTTCCGGACCCCAAAGTGGCAATCAGCATTTCCCTGGGTGTGTAAGAAAGGGTCACAAGAACTAAGCACTGAGGCTACCCTTCCTGCCCTTCCTCTCATGATCTGCCTAAATTCACAGAATCCGCATTGCTGTCAGATGGCCATCCAGCCTATGTTTGAAAACCTCCAAAAAAGGAGAGCCCCCCATCTCCCAAGGAATCCTGTTCCACTGAGGAGCCACTCTAATTGTCAGAACGTTTTTCCTAATGTTTAGGCAAAAACTCTTCTGATTTAATTTCAACCTGTTGGTTCTGGTCCAACTGAGACCAAAGGGATAAGGAAACACTGTGAATTAGCAGCTAAGGTGGAATTTGAATGGGGAATTCTCCCACTCACACTATAATATTTTTATTTACATAACTTACAGCCCACCTTTCCCGCTGATACTCAAGGTGAGTTACAAAAACAAACAAACACCAATTCAGTCACATAGCACAAGGCATCTAATAAACAATGTAGTAAACATAGGATTACAGAACTGGGAAACAATACAGATAAACAAAAACTTGCCCAACATATGCCATACCAGAACACTGAAAATGGGTTGACAAAGGTGGAAGACAGTGTTTGAAAAGCAAGAAAACACATACATTAAACATGGGAATAGACTACAGTCCTATTCCATCATTGTGGGTCATGGGAGACATAGAACGTATTTGGTATACAGACTGTTTTAGACTATAATGATACCCCCTGGCACCTCCAGTTAAAAGTGTCTCAAGTAGACTGGGAAAGGCTTCCATTCAGAGAGGTGCTGCTGCTCTGGGCTTGACAGACCTGAATGGTCTGATCCAGTATTGCATATATATTACAACGTTACATCAGTTCTAAGATCTGTCTTCATGCAATGTATTCCTCGCCACAATGCTAGTTTAAATAACTGTAAAAGACTATTAGACAAAGTAGGATGGGTCTATCACCTATTTACCAAGATTACTAAAAAGAAAAGAAAGTATATTTAGGAGTGTCATCTCTTTCTGATTAGTAAATACTGGAGAAAAAACTATAGGGAGCAACTACCTCCACCACTTTTGCTGTTGGGAGACAACAGCCCTTTGGTCTGATGTACCCCCCCCCCAAAAAAAAGTAAGTTTCTTTTCATCAGGTTTCCAATTTAAAATTCTTGTCATGTTTTCCTTAACCTTTTTTACAGAAACACAAACATAAGGTTTAAAAAATGCTTTGCCTGAAATTTGATTTCCGGAGGAAACTTTCTAATACTTGTGAGCGCAAGCTTCCTTTTAAAAAAGTTTCCCATTTTGAGATCAATACCCTTTCATTTTTCAAATGTGTAGGAGGAAAGCTTGAAAGTGTTGCTGCGACAAATTCTATCAATCAGGGCCTCTCAACCCCGCCAAAAATGGGCTTCTAGGAATCGGTGGGACTAAATGACGCTGAAACTAGGCTGGATCGGGCTCTTGGAAGGTTATATACGCCTTCTTCCAAGACATATTTTCGGAGTAGAACGGAATAATAGTTTCATGAACCGAGAAATACAAAACCCCGATTCCAAAAGTAGTAAAACGACAGAGTTAAGACAAGCCACACTAAAACACCGCCCCTCTCTGGCGCGAACCTTAAGGAGGTTGTTTTGCGCATGCGTTGTAGAGCAAAAAAAACCCCCCCCGGACACACACACACACACACACCCGACGGCTGATGGCGCTTTCTACCTCCTGAAGGCCGTGCGGCGAGTCTGTGCTCCGCCGTTTCCTCTCGCTGCCCCCTCCCTCCTCCGGGCAGCACAGACGGGAGCGATGCCGCTTCTTCTCTTTAGCGAATTTACGGCCTGTCATGGTACCCTCTTCAGACAATACTCTTAAATAGATATATATTCAACTGCCCATACTGCCTCAACCGCCTCGGTTGTGCGCTGTCGACAAAGGCGCGCGACGCTTAAGAGCCGTCCTTGGCGGCGGCTGTTGGTGACGTCACGCACTGCTAAGAGCCGTCCTTGGCGGCGGCGGCGGCGGCGGCTGTTGGTGACGTCACGCACTGTCGGCAAGGCAGCATCGTCTCAGTCCACGGATCTCCCAGTGGATGCTTTGCTCTATGTCGCCGCTGTTCTCAGTGCAGACGAGCGGAGATCCGGAAAGGAAGCCGACGCCTTTTCACGGCGGCCGCCGTCACTTGCTCACCTTTTCTAGAAAGGAGAACGTAGGAGCGGTGTCTCCTTCTGTCCGCGGCTGCTGCCACTTGTCTACGCAGGGGTGGGAACTGGGAAAAAAAGGGAAAAGGGCCCACCTCAGCAGTTTACTGGGATTTCTTTCGAGAAATATCAGTTGTCCTCTCACAACACTATCATGAGATTCTTTACGTGGTCAATGCAAGCACAGACAGTACGTTTCTAATGGGGGTTCTTATCATTTTTAATGTTTGGGGTTTCTTCTTTGGCAACCTGGAGCCATATTCAGAATTAGACCTGTAATACTGTATTTTTCTGTGGGTAACCATAAAAAGTCATACATTAGGAACAGGGGCCCAAACTGCAAGTACTTGAATTGCTTCACAAACAGGGCCAGGGAAATATCCCCAAAGCAAGTAAAGCTGCCTACAAAAGTCACAGGTTGTTCTTGCACTCAAGTTCTTTTCCCTCCCTTTCATGAAGTAGCAGGGGCCTGTGTTGAAGAGGGATGGGGTCTGTACTTGCTTTGTTGTTGTTCAGTCGCACAGTCGAGTCCGACTCTTCGCGACCTTGCTTTACCAGACCACTTTTCAGTTGCTAAAGGGGACAGGCAGTGGCAGAATCTGCATGTGTCTTTCCCACCAGTGTCCCAGCCTTTTGACTCGTCTTCAAAAAAGCTGTCTACATTTGGTGCTGTTTTCACACCTCAAGAGTGCTAGCATAGTTTTGCACTTCCACATATGTTTAGTCCTTTGGGGCAGCTCCACTGTCATTGCACCTCCACACTGCTTTAAAACAATCTTCTCCAAACAACATTCAAAGAAGCATAGAGAAGAAAAACGGTGTCACAGCAGCGCAAAAATGATTTTAAAATGCAAATGCAGATTTGGTGTGTATCACCTAAGGTAAAATCATTTCAGAGATGAAAGCAAGCAAAAAACCAGGAGTGACCAAACACCAGGAGGCGCCAGTCATGTCTTTTTAATGGTTGTGTACAACTGACAACCTAGCAGTTCGAAAGCAAGAAATTGCAAGTAGATAAATAGGTACCACTTCAGTGGGAAGGGAACAGCGTTCCGTGTGCCTTGGTGTTTAGTCATGCCGGCCACATAAATGCCGACCCCGTAAATGTCTTCGGACAGCGCTGGCTCTTCAGCTTTGAAACGGAGATGAGCACCGCAACCCTAGAGTCGGATTCGACTGGCTTTCGAGCAAGGGAACTTTTACCTTTACCTTACAAATGACATACCCTAACCTAGATTGCCCATTCTTGTCAGATCCCAGAAGCTAAGCAGGGTCAGCACTAGTTAGTATCTGGACGGGAGCCCATCAAGTCCAGGATCGCTGTACAGAGGCAGGCTATGGCAAACCACCTCTGAATGGGTCTTGCCTTGAAAACCCCAGGGGGTCACCGCAACGCAGCTGTGACTTGACAGTAACAAAAAAACCCAAGTATTAGCCTGGATAACATGCAAGGCTTGCCATTTGTGTCCTTTATGATTACAGTGCAAGGTAGAGCACTTTTGCACATTTACACTACAAAGAAAGAGGTAGCAGCTATCTTAGGTGGCTATCTTAGACATAACAGGGCAGATGGATTTTTTTCTCCTATTTATATCTTCAAGGTTTAGGCTATTCTTAACTTCACCAGCCTGGAAGAGATACTATAAAATGTTAGTGGTATCCAGCAGTCCTCTAATGCTCTCTCAACCTTTGATAGCTCTTCATTAAGCAATTATGTATCATACAGAGATATCTTTGGACGTAAAAGAGGAGCCCAGTGGCATGTTAGGACTAAAAATGCCAGAATAAGTTTGTGTGAGTCAGAGGTCATTTCATGAGATGCGTGAAGTATACATCCATGAAGGTTTCCCTTGCTTGAAAGCTAGTTGAATCCAACTCTAGGGGATGGTGCTCATCTTCCTTTCCAAGCCGAAGAATCAGCGCTGTGCAAAGACGTTTTCGTGGTCCTGTGGCCAGCGTGACTAAACGCCAAGATGCATGGAACGCTGTTACATTCCTACCGAACGCTGTTACATTCCTACCGAAGCGGTACCTATTTATCTGCTTGCAATTTCTTGCTTTCAAACTGCTAGGCTGGCAGGAGCTTGGGCCAGAGATGGGAGCTCACTCCATCATGCAGCCCTAGGGTCTCAAACAGCTGAGCTACAGACCTCCCGGTCTGCAGCTTCAGCGTCTTAACCTCTGAGCCACCGCAGCTCCTGTACATCCATTAGGCATATGCAATTACACTGAAAGATGGCAGGGGGAGATGATATAAAGTCTGACTCATGAAAGCTTGTGCTGGAATAGATTGTTAGCTATGCACTCACCTATCCAGAGTTATTATTTGACATGTTTACTTTTGTTTTGGTACTGGCTTCCACATTAGCAGTCATCCCTCTTGAACCAAACATGAATATACATTAATTGACAGTTCAGATCAGTACCATGCAAATCAGTAGAACAGACAGCTGTTTAAAAGTACCCATGGCCCCGGTCACACGAGAGGATTAGGGCCGGGAGAGGGACAGATCGGGGGCGGAGCAAACGGGCGCGATCCCACCGCAACATCTGGGAAGCATTGTGTGCCCGTCCTCGATCCGGCCCTTCCGGCGATAATCCACAGCAAAAAAGAACCACCTACCGAGGTGGTTCTTTCCGAACGGCCACATCAAAGCCGGCCGTGGGATCGCCGGCGGATTCTTCCGCCAGCGCATCCCCGGGTCCTGGCCAAACTGCACATGCTCAGACATGAGCAGTTTAGCAGCCTCCCGTGGCTTCCTCCCCAGTCTCCCCGGGGAGCAATTGTACAGCAGCTCACAGGATCTGTATGATCCCGCCGCCGCATGCCTTTTTTGGTGCGGCTTTTAAAAGCCACACTTTGCCCATTCTTTTTGTCCCTCGTGTGGCAGGGACCTATATTTACTATCCTTACACGTTTTTTCAAAGGAAGCATGTTGATTCCCTCTGGCCCCCCTGACCTAGATGGCCCACGCTAGCCCAGTCTCATAAGATTTTGCCTGCTAAGCAGTGTCAAGCCCTGGTTGGTATTTGGATGGGAGACTGTGCTGAGGCAGGCAATGGCAAAACACCTCTGAACATTTCTTGCCTCGAAAACCCTATGGGGCCACCATAAGTTGGCTATGACTTGACAGCACTTTCCACCACAACCACCACATTGAGAACGGATGCTGGAGTACACAAAAAGGTATTTCAGATAAATCTTAGACTAGCACACTGGAATTTGGTTCAGCGCATCCAGATGAAGGCAGAAGATTTCCCCCCAAACAAAATAAATTAGGTATTTTGAAACTGAATGTACTATTCACATATGTAGTATATTTCTAAATGGACAAGAACAAAGGATAAGCACATGAGCTGCATGTTTCTGATAAGGAACTAAGAATAATGCTGACATTTTGGTAGAACGGATTAGACTTTAGAATGAACGTCTCATCAATATGAATGAGGCAGCTCACACTTTGCAGCATTATTATTGCAATCTGGCTGGCTGCAGATAACCTTCCCACTGTGAAACCTAGTAATGTTATCACTGAATCCTGAGAAAGATATGCATTCTGAAGAAACATTTTACAGAAATAGAATAAAAAGGAAAGCCCACAGCTCATCTGAAAATTCAACCCACATTTTTGCTGGTATGCTTGATGTTATCCTATTTTTCTCCATAATCTCATCACATTGAGGAGCTGAATACACACCGCTGAATTCCTATGAAACTAGAAAACCCTCCTGTAGCAGTTTGCACAGGTTCATGAGAAATCAGGATTACCTTAGGTATGGTGGCTCATCATATAAAATAGGGAGACTAGGAAGTGTCTTATATTTAAAATCAAAATACTACAATACAGTTACTTGTAAAGTTTAAATAATAAAGCTAGAATGACTGGATTTTAAACTGCATCTTACTGAATAAAGATTGCCTTGTGAATTTCTGCTTTGATATTAAATTCCAAGACTCATTAGTAGCAGGGCAAAGTCCACAGCATATTTTCATACACTGCAGTATTAAAAGATAACAATTTAAAGATCAGTGCAAAAAGGTTTTATTTAGGTTTTTTTTAACTTAATGATCAGATAATTAATCCACAGTATTTTATCAATTCTTGTAAAATCTTCTTCACCACCATCCTAGGCTCCCAAGTGCTTTAAAAAAAGTTAGAGCAAATCAAGGACAAGCCTACAGCATTCATTTACTTTAGCTGGTTCTGATACAGAGGAATATTTTTTTATTTGAGAATCAACCCCTAGAGACTTTGCTAACTGTACAGCATTTGAATCACCACTGATTAGTGTCCCAAGAGCCACAAGCAGTCTAAAAATAGCTTCAAAGTCTTGTACAATTTCCATGACTGTGCTGATTACTGACAAGCACTGAGCTTTACCCTCAATGTTATTAATTTTATGTAAACAAACGGCATAGTTCAGAGCCAAGGTGGCTAGTGCAATGTGAATGTTCTTATTGCTGCTCAGTTTCAGTTCTATTGCTTGTGACATTATCAGATCCCCCTGTAACATCATGAGGTTTTGGCCAACTGGGTGGACAAAACAATTGCAGAGAGTTCTAAGAGCCAGCATCTGGTTAGCTTGCTTTCCTCCAGGGTTCAGAAATTTGATGAGGTGGCTGCTGAACTGAATGCCATCCTTTTCGCCGCAGAAGCTTTCACTCACACTGGGATTCCTGACTGCTAATCGAAGAATGTCTAGCGCTGGAAACACAATGTCTAAAAACAGAA